GGGCGCCTCTTGAAGGGGAAGGCTCGTTGGGCGCCTTTGGGGGCAGTTATGGTCGCCTTCTTGGCTGTCGTGGGGCGCTTTTAGGCCGTCTTGGGGCCCTCTGGGGGGCCTCTTCGGCCGTCGTGAGTTGGTTTTGGAGGCCTCTGCTGCCGTTCTGGAGCTACAGAATGCCGAACACGCGAAAACTCAAACTTTTGCTTAAACACTTTAGGACAATGAAAGATGCGTGCATCTTTAGACACTCTCGAGAGGCCTCTCGGAGGCATCTTGTGGCGTCTTGGAGGCCTCTTGGGCCATCTTCAGGCCATCGTGGGCGTTTTGGAGCGACGTTGGGGCAGCTGTAGGCTCTCTTTAAGAATTTGTGGGGCTTCTTTGAGACATCTGGGTTCGTTTTGGGACCGTCCGTGGCGGGGTCGGCCGACGCGAGCGATTCCTGCAGCCCCAGGGGCTAGCAAGGTTTACATTTCTTGCTGCAGCAGCAGCAGCAGCAAAGCCCCCTCAGTGCGACATGAGCCTTAGGGCATTATAAACATTGGCTCGAGCGTCAGCCCCCCTCGGTACGCAACAGCGCTGTAAGCAAAATGCCATCAGACGAGAAATGTTATTATTCGTTTTTCCCACTACTATTACTACTACTACTACTACTACTACTGCTACTACTACTACTACTACTACTACTACTACTACGACTACTACTACTACTACTACTACTACTACTACTACTACTAGTACTACTGCTACTGCTACTGCTACTGCTACTACTACTACTACTACTACTACTACTACTAGTACTACTACTACTACTACTTTTACTTTTACTACTACTATTACTACTACTACTACTACGACTACTACTACTACTCATGCTACTGCTACTGCTACTGCTATCACTACGACTGCTGCTGCTAATACTGCGACTACTACGACTATTACTACTACTACTATTGCTACTACTACCACTGCTGCTGCTACTACTGCTGCTACTATAACACGTACTGCTATCATTCTTACTACTACTACTACTACTACTACTACTACTACTACTCCGACTCCGACTCTTACCACAATTACGACTACGATTTCTACTACTACGACTACTACTACTACTACTACTACTACTATTAGTATCTCTAGTGCAGCTACATCTCTTACGACTATAGTACTACCGCTACTACAACTACGGCTACTACTACCATGGTTACTACTGTTTCAATTACTACTACAACTACTGCTACGACTACTACCACTACTTCTACTACTACTACTACTACTACTATTAAGACTACGACTACGATTTCTACTACTTCAGCTACGACTGCTACTACTACTTCTTTACTTAGTTTCTTACTTACTTACTTACTACTACTACTGCTACTACTACCACTAATACTACCATTACTACGACTACGACTACGACTGCGACTACTACGCACACCTACTATCACCGACTACTACTACTACTACTACTACTACTACTACTACTACTACTAGTACTACGACTGCAATTATAATTTGTTATATGGTTCATTTGTAGTACGACTGCGACGGCTACTACTACTACTACTACTACTACTACCACCACCACGACGACTACTACCACGACTACTACTACTACTTCTACTACTACTTCTACTACGCTTACTACTACTATTATTACTACTATTACTATTACCACCAAAAATGCTACGACTACTACTGCGCATCGTAATTCTGTTCGTATGACTATTGTCACTGTTGTCGTCGCCACTACTATTACTACTACTACTACTGCTACTACTACTACGACGTACTTCTTGTACTACTACGATTGCGATTAGCACTACCATTGCTACTACTATTACTACGATGATTAAGTATTACGGCTACTGCTACTACTACTACTACTACTATTATTATTAATATTGCTACTACTACTGCTACTTCTTCTGCGACTCCTACTGTTATCACGACTACCACTACTACTACTACTACTACTACTACTACTACTACTACTACTATTAGTACTACTACTACTGCTACGACTTTTACTACTACTGCGACTACGACTACAGGAGCGATCACCACCACTATCCACGATACAGCAGCATCGTCTACCAATTATTCTTTTACTTCTGCTACTACTCCTACTACTACTCCTACTACTACTACTACTACTACTACGAATTCGGCAACTACGATCATTACGCCTACTACACCAACTGCCCCCGACTACAGCCTTTAGTGTTACAACAAGTGCTACGACTGCTGAAACTACTACTACTACTACTACTACTACTACTACTACTACTATTACTACGACTACTACTACGACTGCGGCTGCGACTACTACTACTCCTACGACTACCAGTAGTACTACTTCTATCACACTGATTACCACTACTACTACTATCATGTCTTTAACTAATATTACCACCATTATCACTACTACTACGACGTCGACTACCACTATTACTACTCGGCTATTACGGCGGCGATTGCTACTCTCATTTTTACTGCTACGACTACTACTACGACGACTACTACTACTACGACTACTACTACTACGACTACTATTACTACGACCACTAATTCTGCCACTACAACAACGATCGCTGCTTCTACTACTATTACTACTTCGACTACTACTACTACTACGAATACTACTACTACTACTACTACTACTACTACTACTACTACTACTACTACTACTACTATTACTGCTACTATTACTAGTACCACTACTACTACCACTACTACGTTTACAATTACTACTACTACTACTACTACCACTACTACTGCTGCTGCTACCTTTACTTCTACCACGACTGCTACGATTTGCAAGGCGACGACTCTTATTTAATCGCTTCGCTCATTCCGCCGGCCCATGTTGTCGCACCGTTGCGGGCTAGCCGAGTTTTGCGGCCTCTTGGGGACCTTTTTGGGGCCTCTTGGGGCCTCTGCCGGGCCTCTTGGGCGCCTCTTGGGGCGTCTTGGGGGCCTCTTGGGGGCCTCTTGGGGCCTTTTTGGGGCCTCCTGGGCGCCTTCTGGGGCGGAGGGCTCGATTTTTCAGTTCTCTGTATCCCTCTTGAGCCCCTCTTGGGCCCGTCTTGGGGCCTCTTGGTCCGTCTTGGGCGGCACTTGGGCCGTCTTGGGGGCCCTCTTGGGCCGTTTCGGGGCCGTCTTGGGAGCTTCGTGGGCCGTCTTGGAGCGATCTTGGGCGCCTCTTGGGTCGTCTTGGAGCGTCCGGAAGCCGAAAAAGCCAGAACGCAAAAAACATCGGAAAAACCAATGAAAATCAACGATTTTGGCCTCTTGGGGCTCTCTTCGGAGGCCTCTTGGAAGGCTCTTGGGGCGTCTTGAAGGCCTCTTCGGCTGTCTTGGGGGTCTCTTGGGCCGTCTTGGGGTCATCTTCGGCGCCTTGGAGCGCTCTTTGAACGTCTCGGGGGCCTCTTGAGCAATCTTGGGGGCCTCTTGGGGCACTCTTGGCGCGCTCAGGGCGGCCTGAGAGGCCGCACCCAGAAGGAAAACCATCTCTGAGTTGAACCGGGCGGGACCTTGCCAGGCGGCGGGCGGGGTATTTTTCGCCGGGGGACCCCCAGGGGCCGCCCCGCGCGCGCGAACTAGTACAATACAATTGTTAACCAGTTACCGGAGATCTTAGCACGCCTCTGGCCCGTTGGGCCGGCGAATTTCTACGATCATGGTCTACTACTGGTGTTTCTTATTCCATTACTAGTACTACTACCAGTACTACCACTTCGACTACGTCTGCGACTACGACTTCTACGGCGACGACGACGAGGACCACTACTTTTACTACTACTACTACTACTACTACTACTACTACTACTACTGCTACTACTACTACTAGCATTACCACTACCACTACTTCACTATTGCTACTACTTCGTTGTATTATTGGTACGATTGCTTCAGATACTACTAAGTTTTACGACTGCATGATTTCGGCTACTACTAGTACTATTCTTCTACGGTTACGGCGACTACTATTATAATTTCTAGAACGACGACGACGACTACGACGACGACTACTATTTTTACTACTACGACTACTACTACTACTACTACTACTACGAGGACTACTACTACTATTATTATTCTTCCTGCTACTACGACTCCTACTACTACTAGTACTACTACTACTACTACTACTACTACTACTACTACTACTAGTACTACTACTACTACTACTACTACTACTAACATTACTAGTACTGCTACCACTACTAACCACTACTACTACTACTACTACTACTACGACTACTACTACTACTACCACTACTACTACTACTGCTACTACGACTACTACTACTACTACTACTACGACTACTACTACCATTACTACTACTACGTACGTACGTACTACTACGTACGTACGTACGTACGTACGTACGTACGTACGTACGTACGTACGTACGTACTACTACTACTACTACTACTACTACTACCACGACTACTACTACTACTACTACTACTACTACTACTACTACTACTACTACTACTCTTACTACTACTACTACTACTACTACTACTACTACTACTACTGCTACTATTACTCCTGCTATTTCTACTATTGCCGTTCGTCCCCCCAACCAGCCCATACAGTCGAACACGATCGTGGGAACGGGCAACCTTCCCAAGAGCATCCGTGCATCCTCAGTCCGTTCCGGAGGCCAGCCACGCTCGGAACAACTTTCGGAAGGGGCGTCCACGGGGGAGATCGCAGCCTCACCGTTGCGCATCCATGCTGTCAGTTCCGAGTGAGCTGCGAGCCTCTCACTCACGCCTTTGCTCCGAGGCCCTCGACAGGGCTGGACCTAAAAGGTGTTTTGGCGATTTCGTGGGCCGTTTTCGTTTCGACTTCGTTTTGCGGTAGAGGCGGATTGAAGACAAAACGAGGAACATCGAAAACATAACGAAAAGGAGAAACACTGTTTAGGTTCAGCCGTGGCCCTCGCTCCCCGCCCGACGACGCCCGACGGCGCCCCCCCTCGCGGCAGGCAGGCACGTGGATGCCATCGTGGAGGGGCTGATTTTCGAGGCCGGCGCCGAGGCCCCCCCCCCCCCCGCGCGCGGCCTCGGGGCCGAAGGGCCTTCGGGGCTGGACAGGCCTCCTGCCCTGACGCGTCGATTCGCGAATGGGCCGTCGTCGGTTCGCGAGAGGACGTCGCGGCCGTCCTTCTCTTGCGGGTCCAGGTCCGTCGGTGTCGGTCCCGGGCCGTTTCCACTATTCTGGACGCCCGAAATGGGCACGGAAAGAATGGGTACGATGCCCAACAGCAGTTCTTGCTCATTCTGAACAGGGCTCGCTGTCCTCGCCGCCGCGGCCCGTGTCCATTTGAGACAGAAGGCCGCCTGCCCAACAGCGGCCGCTGTTGGTTTGGAACAAGTTTTGCTGTTGGGCATTGTACCCATTTCGGGCGTCCAAGACTAAAGGAAGGTTTGCTGAAGGGAGGTTTGTCCACTGCCGAGGCACGGGGGGCCGTGCAGACCGAGCCGTCGGCCCGGGCGCCGGATCCTGCGAGCGAGGGGCGGAGGCGCGGAGGAGGAGAGCTTCTCAGAAGACGGCGGGTCAGAGCCCCGAGTCATCAGGGGTAACTCGGGTCAGGGCTAACTCGGGTTCCTTTTCGGGAATCCGAGCTCGAGTTACCCCGGACCCGAGTTACCCCGGATAATTCGGGCGCCCAAGCGGGGCTTCTCAGGAGCCTTCGCACCCTCTGAGAAGGCTCTGGAAACTTGTCAAAGGGCCCGGGGACTTCCGAGCCTTCTGAGAAGGCCTTTTCCTTCTCGCTTCCCCCCTGGGCTCGCCGCCGAAAACCTGGGCGTCGCACAGTGTCGAGTATAGCCAGGACCCCGGTCGAGGGGAGCCGGTCAGTAACATGGCCATGAATTTGGACGTAGGCTGGAATCACGAAGAAAGGTCTGCCGTAGCTGGTGCTTTGCGGGTGACGGCAGTTCTGCTTAGTGGAGTGGGGCGTGGGGGGCGTCCCCCGGTACATATCCCGAAACCATGTCCCAATAAGCCCAGTCTTTCCACAGCCCGATATTGGAGAGGCGAAAAATGGGGGGGGGGCAGCGAGGGCTGCAGAAACAGGACCCACTGGGGCCCCGCGAGCAGAAACGCGGCCCTTTGGGGGCCCGAAAGAGGCCTTTCAGGGCCCCAGCGGGGTGAGGCCCGAAAAGTGCAGTTTTCTCCCCCCGGCCCTCAATTATCGCCCCCCCCCCCCCCCCACATTGAAGCGACGCCCAACACAGCCAGGGGTGCACTCACCCGGGCTTGCGTGCAGGATCCAGCAGGATCCTGCAGGATTTTGCAGGATCCTGCAGAGCCTGACTGACCCGCGTTTGCATGGACCCGGGTCAACAGGAGCCCGACGCGAGTGCGCTGGACGGCGACGAAGCGGCCCGCGGCGATGAGCGAATGGCGGTGGTGGCGGACGACGAAGGACGGACGACGACGCATTGACGAACCGACGACGGCGACGACGACGACGACGGCAAGGAGGAGGAGGAGGACGACGGCGACGAAGGGTCGTCCACGACGACGGCGACGACGACGGCGACGACGAATGGACGACCATAACGAACAGTCGACGACGGCAGTGACGGCGACGGCGACGACGACGAAGAACGACGGACGTCTGACAAGATATTGATATCGCTTCCTTTTCCTGGTGTTGCTTACGTCTGGGCCTCCAGGGAGGCCCCCGTCGCAACCGCTGGACTCGCCTCGGACTTTGGTCAGAACGCACGCCAGAAGAGCTCCGAGGGGGGTAGTGGTATGTACCTTTTGGTTTCCCCGGGCTCGGGGAGGCAGGAAGGGTATCGATGACACGCCACCGTTCGGCCCGTCAGCGCGCTATGTATCCCTCCATTTGGTTCGAGGATTTGGTGTATGTTCCACGGTGGCACTCTGGTGGATTCTCCTCGGCGGCGTGGCATTGATGCAGTAACGAGTGACGACGACGAACGGACGGCCAAGTCAACGGTCGACGAGCAAACGATGGCGGCGGCGGACGACGAAGGACGGACGACGACGCACTGACGAACCGACGACGGCGACGACGAGGACGACAAGGAGGACGACGACGAGGATTACGACGACGACCACGACGACGACGGCGACGAAAGCACGACCATGACGATCAGTCGACGACGACAGTGACGGCGACGGCTTCTGATCAGGTTGCCGCTCGAGGGCGGTGCCGCGGTTGGCATCGCCGCCCGGCCGAGGGGAGCGGCCAGGAGCGGCCGACGACGACGACGACGAACGGTCGACGACCACGTCGACGAGCGGTCGACGAACGGTCGTCGACGACGAGGAACGGTCGACGACGACGACGCCGACGACGGCGACGACGAAAGGTCGACGAACGAACGACGACGACGACGAGCGGTCGACCAACGGTCGACAACGACGACGAGCGGTCAACGAGCGGTCGACGAACGGTCGACGACGACGACGATGACGATGAACGGTTGACGAGCGGTCGACGAACGGTCGACGAAGACTACGACGACGACGAGCGGTCGAGGGTCGGTCGACGACCAGCCGATCCAAGAAATCCGCTCGCAGCGCCCAACGTTTATGTTTATGCAGTTTGTTCATCTTCTACGAGGGTTGCACAGGGAATTTTGGACCACACAAAACTCGCGTGCAAGGCCCGAGAGTGCGGGCTCGGAGGTAGGTCGGGGGGGCAGGCTCCTCCCTCTCTTCGGTTTTCGGCGAGGACCTTGCGCGTGTTGGGAGAGGTCGAGAAGGGTGTGGACGTGACGACGACGGGGGCGAGATGTCGGAGACGTCCTTTCGCGCGAAGTCGAGGCGGCGACGCCGACTACGATGACGACGATGACGATGGCGACGACGACGACGGTGGGGGGCGACGGACGGCCGACGGCGGACGACGACGGACGAGGACGAACGGTGGACAACGTCGACGACGACGATCACGACGGCCGACGACGATCAACATCTGTGGCCCTTTGACGGCTCCACGTTGGCCCATCTGAGACATCCACGATCACCTCTCGACGGCCCTGGGAGCCCCAACTCGCAGGCGATGATTCTCCCCCAATCCCGGAATTTCGCCCGACACGTGTGGCCGCTCAGAAAAAAGGGGTAAACCTTGGGACGCACTCCCTGGGGGCTGTTCAGCCGCACCCCTTATCGAGGATGGACGCCCCACCCTCGTGCATCCCAGGGCTGGGCCCCAAAGGTTTGCTCCGCGCGAGGCCTCCGCGAGGCCTGGGCATCGGGGCCGACGTATCCCGCGGGACCAGCAAGGTGCCCCCCCGGAGGGTGAACACTGCGCAGAGGGGCCCCCGACGGCAACGACGGCGGTGGCGGCGGTGCGCCACGTGCCGAGGAGGCGTCCCGCTGCCCCCCGCGCATCCTCGCCGGCCTGGCGCCGACGCCGGCTGCCGGCAAGCCGGACCGGCCGCCGCTGCTGGGGGCGCTGGAGGCCGCCGTCGCCCTCGCCTTTGGGTCCCGCAAATCGAGCAGTGGCGAAGCATCCTGGCGTGCCTGTGGTCAGGGGCGGCAGAGAGGGTGGTGACGACTAGGGGGGGTGGATCTCATGGCGGGGGCCACGATATACTCCCCCAGATCATTTCATTACGTCCCTGGCCCCCCCGAAGGGCCGCGCGCATGCCGTCGGCCATGATTTGCGCCCCCCCCTCCTGGACGCCCCCCTCTTGGCCGCCGCCGGTATAGGCCTACCAAACAGCAATGTTCTAAGAACCTTTTGTGGCTTCCACGACATGTTCTTACAACAGTTCTGGCTGGGATCGTCGTATTTCAACACATCGGGATTCTGTTCTAAGAGCATTGCTTTTGTTATTGGAGCATTTTTTTGTTCTAAGAACATGTCGTGGTAGGCCTATAGGAATGCCAGGACGGTCGGTCCCTGCTCAAGCAAAGGCGCAAGAGGTGGAGCTTGCGGGGGGCATCTGTTCGCGGCGTTTCGGTGCACCAGCGGATCGAACTCCTGCACCCTCCTCAGGGTCACCCACCCTTGTGGTGGATCCCGACTCTCGCTACGATTAAGTCGGGCATGTCCCTCGACAGGAGGATTTCTCCAGAATGGCAACGGACATAGTCTGGGGACGAATTCTGTTGGTATCGCTTGGCAATGTTTGAGTATGGCTTGGCTGTTTTCATTCCTGTTTCAACATCCGCCCGCGGGAGGACATGCCCGACCCAACGCCACGAACGATACGGGGTGTCCAGAGGGAGCGGGGATCCTGGATGCCTCTCGCCGCGTTCGGGCTCCCAAGGCCCTCCCACGGGGCCGACCCCCCCTCCAAAAACGGCTCGTGGCGAGGAAGCCCTGGGGCCCAGTGGTCCACGACCTGGTTTCTTCAGGACTCCCCTCCTTTCGGATGCAGCTCCTGGGAGGTAAAATTCCCCACATGCTTAGTGGGGTTCTGGTTTTCTTCCCTGCCGCGTCGCACCCGCGTCTCACCTCACACCTCCCCTCCTCACAGCACTGCTCAGCACAGCTCAGCTCAGCTCAGCTCAGCACGGCACAGCTTAGCACAGCTCAGCTCAGCTCAGTTCAGCACAGCACAGCACAGCGCAGCACAGCACAGCTCACCGCAGCACAGCACAGCACAGCACAGCACAGCACAGCACACAGCACAGCACAGCACAGCTCAGCTCAGCACAGCACAGCGCAGCTCAGCTCAGCTCAGCACAGCACAGCACAGCACAGCACAGCTCACCGCAGCACAGCACAGCACAGCACAGCACACAACACAGCGCAGCACAGCACAGGCGTGGCACAGGCGTGGCACAGGCGTGGCACGCATGGCATTTCCTCGACACCACAGGGGGGGAGCGGTGGTCCCTGAGCGCGGTCGCTATCCACGACACTGTCGCAAAGCCTAGCAGGCGTGGCACTTTCTCGACACCAGAGGGGGTGCGCAGGGGGTGGTCCCTGAGCGCGGCCGCTATCCACGACACTGTCGCAAAGCCTAGCAGGCGTGGCAGTTTCACGACACCGTAGGGGGTGCGCAGGGGGTGGTCCCTGAGATCGCCCGCTATCCACGACACTGTCGCAAAGCCTAGCAGGCGTGGCACTTTCTCGACACCAGAGGGGGTGCGCAGGGGGTGGTCCCTGAGCGCGGCCGCTATCCACAACACTGTCGCAAAGCCTAGCAAGCGTGGCAGTTTCACGACACCGTAGGGGGTGCGCAGGGGGTGGTCCTTGAGCTCGCCCGCTATCCACGACACTGTCGCAACGCCTAGCAGGCGTGGCAGTTTCACGACACCGTAGCGGGTGCGCAGGGGGTGGTCCTTGAGCGCGGCCGCTATCCACGACATTGTCGCAAAGCCTAGCAGGCGTGGCAGTTTCACGACACCGTAGGGGGTGCGCAGGGGGTGGTCCCTGAGCGCGGCTGCTATCCACGACACTGTCGCAGAGTCTAGCAGGCGTAGCATGTTCTCGACACCAGAGGGGGTGCGCAGGGGGTGGTCCCTGAGCGCGGCCGCTAACCACGACACTGTCGCAAAGCCTAGCAGGCGTGGCAGTTTCACGACACCGTAGGGGGTGCGCAGGGGGTGGCCCCTGAGATCGGCCGCTATCCTCGACACTGTCGCAAAGCCTAGCAGGCGTGGCACTTTCTAGACACCGTAGGGGGTGCGCAGGGGGTGGTTCCTGAGCGCGGCCGCGATCCTCGACACTGTCGCAAAGCCTAGCAGGCGTGGCAGTTTCACGACACCGTACGGGGTGCGCAGGGGGTGGTCCCTGAGCGCGGCCGCTATCCACGACATGTCGCACAGCCTAGCAGGCGTGGCACTTTCTCGACACCAGAGGGGGTGCGCAGGGGGTGGTCCCTGAGCGCGGCCGCTATCCACGACATTGTCGCAAAGTCTAGCAGGCGTGGCACTTTCTCGACACCAGAGGGGGTGCGCAGGGGGTGGTCCCTGAGCTCGCCCGCAATCCACGACACTGTCGCAAAGCCTAGCAGGCGTGACACCTTCTCGACACCAGAGGGGGTGCGGAGGGGGTGGTCCCTGAGCTCGCCCGCTATCCACGACATTGTCGCAAAGCCTAGCAGGCGTGGCAGTTTCACGACACCGTAGGGGGTGCGCAGGGGGTGGTCCCTGAGCGCGGCCGCTATCCACGACACTGTCGCAAAGCCTAGCAGGCGTGGCACTTTCTCGACACCAGAGGGGGTGCGCAGGGGGTGGTCCCTGAGCGCGGCCGCTATCCACGACACTGTCGCAAAGCCTAGCAGGCGTGGCACTTTCTCGACACCAGAGGGGGTGCGCAGGGGGTGGTCCCTGAGCTCGCCCGCTATCCACGACACTGTCGCAAAGCCTAGCAGGCGTGGCAGTTTCACGACACCGTAGGGGGTGCGCAGGGGGTGGTCCCTGAGCTTGCCCGCTATCCACGACACTGTCGCAAAGCCTAGCAGGCGTGGCACTTTCTCGACACCAGAGGGGGTGCGCAGGGGGTGGTCCCTGAGCGCGGCCGCTATCCACGACACTGTCGCAAAGCCTAGCAGGCGTGGCAGTTTCACGACACCGTAGGGGGTGCGCAGGGGGTGGTCCCTGAGCGCGGCCGCTATCCACGACACTGTCGCAAAGCCTAGCAGGCGTGGCACTTTCTCGACACCGTAGGGGGTGCGCAGGGGGTGGTCCCTGAGCTCGCCCGCTATCCACGACACTGTCGCAAAGCCTAGCAGGCGTGGCACTTTCTCGACACCGTAGGGGGTGCGCAGGGGGTGGTCCCTGAGCTCGCCCGCTATCCACGACACTGTCGCAAAGCCTAGCAGGCGTGGCAGTTTCACGACACCGAGGGGGTGCGCGGGGGGTGGTCCCTGAGCTCGCCCGCTATCCACGACACTGTCGCAAAGCTAGCAGGCGTGGCAGTTTCACGACACCGTAGGGGGTGCGCAGGGGGTGGTCCCTGAGCGCGGCCGCTATCCACGACACTGTCGCAAAGCCTAGCAGGCGTGGCACTTTCTCGACACCAGAGGGGGTGCGCAGGGGGTGGTCCCTGAGCTCGCCCGCTATCCACGACACTGTCGCAAAGCCTAGCAGGCGTGGCACTTTCTCGACACCAGAGGGGGTGCGCAGGGGGTGGTCCCTGAGCTCGCCCGCTATCCACGACACTGTCGCAAAGCCTAGCAGGCGTGGCAGTTTCACGACACCGTAGGGGGTGCGCAGGGGGTGGTCCCTGAGCTCAGCCGCTATCCACGACACTGTCGCAGGGCCTAGCAGGCGTGGCACTTTCTCGACACCAGAGGGGGTGCGCAGGGGGTGGTCCATGAGCGCGGCCGCTATCCACGACACTGTCGCAAAGCCTAGCAGGCGTGGCACTTTCTCGACACCAGAGGGGGTGCGCAGGGGGTGGTCCCTGAGCGCGCTGGTCCCTCACCGCGGCCGCTATGCACGACGGTCGTCCAGGGCATAGCAGGCGCGGCATTTTCTCGACACCATAGAAAGGCTGCGCAGGGGGTGGTCCCTCACCGCGGCCGCCATGCACGACGGTCGTCCAGGGCATAGCAGGCGTGGCACTTTCTCGACACCGTAGGGGGTGCGCAGGGGGTGATCCCTCACCGCGGCCGCTGGCTGGCTCGAATCTGTTCTCGATGGAGGATAGAAGGCTAGGAAGAGGGAGGAGGTTCAAGCAATATGGCGTTGGATGACACAGAGGGGAACATTCGCGACGAGGGCTGAGAACGCAGAATTGCGCATATATGATAAACTTAAGAAAGCACATCATACTTAAATTAAGTATGTGGGGTTCCTCGGTAGCGTAATTCTGATTTTGCCCTGGCCTGAAATCTGGCTTAATCCCGCTTAATCCCGTTTAATCTGGCTTGATCCCGCCGAATCCGGCTTAATCCCATGTACTACGAGAACCTTTCCGGCGCGACAGCCCCCCAATGCGGCTTAATATTCCTTAATCCTTCCGGGGAAGACCTCCCAGCAGTTGCCTCCTAAAATGGTCCACGACCTGTTTCCTTCAGGACTTCCCTCCTTCATGCCATGAGCCGCCGTCGTCTTCACCGCCACTGACGCCGCGAACCGTCGACGCGTCGCCCTTCGTCGTGCGCTGCCTCGTCGCACAACGACCACCGCGCTCGAGTGGAACTGCGGGCCCTGCTGAAGGCCGTCGTCGAGGTCCTTCGGAGGGCTCTCCGCGGGACTGGCTAATGATCCCGAGTCGTTCCTTGGTGGCCCCTGGGCCTGAGATAGTCGTTTCCAGGCCCCTAGAGCTTCGGATCGTCTCGGAACCTTATCCTTCACTGCGAACTCCATCTCCTCCTCTCTCTGCTCACTCCACCTTCTACCTTCCCTTGTACTCATCGTCGTTCACAAAGGGGGGGGAGGCCGAGGACGGCGGACGAGGCGGGGAGGAAGAGGATGGGAGGCGTGAGAATAGGCCAGAACGGGAGGGCCAGGGAGGAGGAGGGGAGGAGGACCAGGGAGGAGGAGGAGGAGGAGGAG